GAATGAAAAGAATCTTCTAGAAGAATCTAGAGGACTAAAACCATTCCTAATTGCATTAGGAATGATAAATCATATTAGGTCCTCCCCTAGATCATTGGGCCGTACATAAAGCTCAAACCGGACCCAGTTTAGTAAATTGGCCATAACTTCCTCAATATTCATCGGAATTGGGCTTATAATATATCGATGGAAAACTCTTTTCAAACCCTATCCAACTACACTACTATTGGACTCATATCATGGACCAACCAAACTGGATTGACTGTTTTCTTAAAAATAAGTTTTCAAAAACAGAGAGAAGCTAAGAGAAAAGAAAATAAAACTTTCCGCAACACTAGACTTTCCACACTTTTGCTTCATTCGATTATGATTCGACGCGAAAGGTACTCATCACTGGGTTTGGTTTTGGAGAGACACAAATGGGTGTCTACAACATCCAAAATTCATCTCTCAAAAGGGCTAAATTTTATCACTAATAACATTATCAACATTTTTAATAAGAAAACACACAATTTTAGTTTTTTTTTTATAGTAAAAATAAAAAAAATGAGTAAACGGATCTGGATCCGTGTCTGGGGCTAGACCCGGATCCAGATTCGTTTTTTTCAGCAGGACCCAGATCCGACCTAGATCCGTCGGGTCCAAAATTTGAAGACCCAGATCCGTGAAAAAGGATCTGGATCCATAGATCCGGGTCGGGTCCTGATCCACTGCCATCCCTATTAACAATCATGCTAATCGATAGATCACCAAATTGAATCATACATTGCAAAGGACAAACAATAGTTGCAATCAAAGGAATTCAAAGGTTACCTCCTATAAACCAAACAAGGGTTCACTATGAATGATTAACAAGGAGAATCACAATCAAATTCAATCAATTAAAGCAATCCCCAAATCAATTGTTCGTGTCATTGGAATTCGCAATGCAATCTAGATTAATCTTATAGGTTGATCACTCCTAGTCTAATTAATCACATGCACAACTATGTTAACCAATTTAATTGCAACAATCAATCAATCAAGGATCATCAATTAACAATAATCATCAATCAAGCATGCTTCCCCTTCTCTCTAGCAACTAATCTACTCACTAATCATGGTGAAATCTAAAACTAGAACAAATTCAATCTCAAACATATTCATCTCAAGCTAAATCAAATGGAAATCCAATCAATCAACAAATTCTCAAGACTAAATCAAAATCCAAACCAAACATCCAAGCATAAAGGTAAATTGCAATTGAAGTAAACTCAAAGGAAAGAAATCTTACTAACTTGATTGATATTTAATAAGAATCAAATACTTGATTGAAGAAACAATGTTGAATTACAATTCAAATCCAAACATTATAATCTCAAACTTTCTCTCTAACTTCTCTCTAGTTTCCCTCTCTAAAAACTAAGCAAATGAAATATTATTTAAGAGTTTTTCCTCAAAAGGATTTACAAGAGTATAAATAAGCAAAGAACAAAAGCTGATCGGCCGCGCCCTCTCCTCGAAAACCCCGCGGGCGCGGAGAAATGGGTACGAAACCCATAACTGCCTCCACGGGTAGTCTGGTCAAAACCCGCGCCCGCGGGCTACAGTACCCGCGCCCGCGGCACAGGGCGCGGCAAAATGCCCTGTTCGGGCCGCAGTCTCTCTTGATCCGGAGCGTCCTCTCCAACATCTCCGCGCCCGCGGGTAGGGCGCAGAGAGTTCCTGCCTAAATTCCCCAAAATTTGCACCAAAACCCTCACCCGCGACCCATGAGACCCGCGCCCGCGGCTCTGAGAGAAAGGGGAGAGCCCTCTCTGAGCCCTCTCCATGAGACTTGAAGCTCCTTTGCTTGGCTCTTTTTGCTCCTCTTGAATCCTTTGCAAAGCTAAGTCTTAAGGTACCTACAAGAGAAACCAAGGAGAGAAAATAGAAGAGAAAAAGAGAAATATAAAAGGAAAACACGAATAAATGCACAAAAAGGAGATTAAAACACGAGAGAAGAAGAAATAGAGAAACTAGAGGAGAAAAGATCAAAATAGTAAAAGAAAAGCATAAAAAGCATAATGAAAATATCCTAAAACACTACCCTATGAGTGCCATAAATGACACTCATCATACCGTAAAGTGTTACATATACTGTGTTATAAAAAAGGTTACTTAATACGACAATGTTACATAAGTGTTACGTAAAAATCAAATAATCCTAAAATTTTTTAAAGTATTACCAATGGGTGTTACTTAAGCCCAATTTTGTACTAGTGATAGTACGGGGCCTTGTCAGCTTTATCCATAATATGTACCTACAATGTTTGGTAGTAGGGAGGAAATGGGGGTCTTTGTGACTTGTTCCATCTGAGTCTAATTTTACCCTAGAAACGACCCTCTTTATACAGAGTGTCATAGATTAGTAAACAAGATATCTATCAAATATTCTACGAGATCTTGAAGATAATATGTTATATTTTTTTTATATTATCTCTTTATTTACAAATATCTGACACCTAATAATTAACAAAATTTCAGTGTCAACGCTCACAATACCTTATTCACGAGATTTGAATACTCCTAGCCATCCTGGACGTTGCCTTCGAACTTGATGTGAAAGGTTGATAGTTCTGAGGGTTTGGTCCCAAATCTATATTTCAATTTATTAGGGCTCGTTTGACATCACTTTGGTTTTCTATTTTTTGGTTTTTAAAATCATATGATATACGCCATATAATGAATAAAAAATAGTCAAACCTATTAAAATCATGATAATTTTGAAAACTGACAACTGAAATGGGGAAACACCTTTTTTTTTGTTTCCTGTTTTTGGTTTTTAAAAAAACTGAAAACTAAAAACTAAAAATGATGTCAAACAAGCCCTTATTTGATTTATTTACTTTATTGATTTAATCTTTCTTGAATTTTACTAACGTGTGTATTGTTTTAATAGAAAGAAAGTCAAGGCATCAAAATGAGTAAATCTACTATCTTTATTCTTTGATTTTGGAGTAAAAATCATGCTTAGAATATTACTTTAATTCCTAATATCATGTTAGGAATTCTTCATGATTTCTAGTATCATGTTAGGATATTATTATTAGTTCTAATACTATATTTAGGATAATTCTTTGATTTGATTGGTGACAAGCTAGGGTTTATTTTTAATCCGTTTAGTATCATGCCTAGGATCTTACTAATGATGTTTTGATGATCTTGATTATGATGATGATTGTTGTATCAATTATACATTGCTTGATTATTCATGATTTATTTTTATTGCTTGATCACACCTTTTTGCAGGTTTAATGGGAATTTATACTTGAAATTACGCCTAATAAGATAGTTAATAATTTTATTTAGGCTAATATGTTTTTAATTTAAGTGATGACCAATTATAGATTTGATTGTGGATTAATAATCAACCAACGTAGATTAAATATGCTTAGGAGTAATTTGATGTATGTATGTTTATCAAAAAGCGTACATGAATATCAAAAGAATTAAGTAGAGACTGATTTAGGGTGGGCTCAATCTCTTTTAGGTTGAATTCGTACCATCATCTACGAATATCCAATCATGGTTCCAGACCACTATGGATTTAGCAAATCTTCATGATTGTGAATGGGGGTGTAATCTTCATACAATTGAACGGTTTATAAGTTTCTAAAATTAAACTTGTTGACAACACTTCCATCTCTAGCTTCCTTCCCTTGGAGCGCCGCCATGCCTAAAAACATGATCATAGTGGGTCTCAAAGTTGAATTTGAAAAATTCCCTAAACGCATACAAGTCATCCAATTAAGAAAATTATACATTAATATTCCCCAAAACATTTCATAAATATTAAATTAATTTATACAATATGAATACGGAGTATTACAAAATTAGTAGTTATTATAAGCATACCCCGAACAAAGAAAACAAAATCGGAAAAAAATAGAAACCATTGTGAAGAATAGTTTGCTCTAACGAACCTCTCAATGGTTTGGGCAATATGATTTTTTATATAAAAAAAAGGGCATACGATAATACTTTGAAAGTTTATAAAACAAGCTATCATTTTGAACCCGAATCACCTCAAAATCAATTCTAGATGGAGAGATATGTCCATGAAGTCATCCCTTTGTCATTTATCTTAGATTTCTAGTCACAAATAACAAGATTGATATTTATTGTTTTAGCATCGTTAACTAGGTTAATTGACATCCGTTTGATTAGCTCCTCAAATCAAGGGATGATGTGGTTGTGCTTTTAACTTCCCTATGTATTCATCACACGTCATTAATTAAAAGGGGTTTATCTCAAAATGACAATTGGCAAATTTAGAACGGTGTTGACAAAATTACAACGGATGTAAAGTCTATATTGTCCATACTCATTCTATAGCAACGGTTTTAACTATGGAAGATTCTATAACCTAACTATAATATTTATCTTCGTTCTCGTTCTTTGCCTTTTTGTCCTTAATGTCCGTTTTAGGTTGTTATTCATGAGGATGATGATATGAATTCAAAAGGGATTTAGGTTTTTCATTAATTTTTTTATCCGAATAATTATAACATAAAATCAAAATGTGAAGGTCACCACTTCGAAATAGATGCAAAGACATAATAAAACACTGCTAATGTCAAGCTTGAAGAAGTGGAGATGGAGTTGTGCTCGAGTATGCTTGGAATTCGTTATTCTAATTGTGAAAGTTATGTAAATTATCAGGTTATCAGTTTTACGGATCTTGACAATAACTATAGATGTCGTGTGACTTATTATTAACGATATTTCTTTTTCCCGTCAAAAATGAATACTCCATAGTAAAATATCTCTACAAATTACTCGAGATCCTACTAAAGCAATTATACATCTTAAAACCCACCATTAGAACAAAAAAAAAAAAAAATAAATAAATAAAAGACAACGAGTTTAACTTTATAACAAACCAAAGATATAGTAGTATACATTATGAACTACAAAGTATATGTAGGGGACTACGGACTAAAATATTTTTAGCACTGTAGTACATTTTAATATTGTAGTTAGGGGTGTCCATTCGGATGATCAAATCGGGTCTGATATGGTCGGGTCGGATCGAGTAAGTTTTTAAAGTTAAATCAACTAAATTGTTATGTCCACGCGAGTCCAAATCTGAATATGATATTTTTCGGATCGGTTTGAATTGAATCGGATCGGATCGAATGTGCTTTTGACACCTCTAACTGTATTATACATAAGACCAATAGACCAAGAGTTCACCGCACTGATCTAATTGCTACATAATCGATAAAAAAAATTGTTACATGCACTGTAAATCATCCCACTTTTTTATTTTTATTTATTTTTTTTATGTTTTTCTATTGTTGACTTGTTGTTGATGGCAGTATCCAGTATCCTAGAGATATAAACAAGTACTGTTTGAGTGGTGCGTATGAAAGTTTGTTATTGCCAAAACAAAGGAGTCTAGCTGTACAGCCTGTAGTGTTGTTACTTCTGTTTAGTGTGAATGTGAGTGTGGAACTTAGCTGGCAAACCTCAAAGTGTCCATAACTCCTTTCTCAACAACACCAACAATTTCTTCACTCCTTCACTTCACTTCACTTCACTTCTTTCCTTCTTCATCAACTAATATTACTACCATTATAACTATTATTAATTTATTTTGCTGATAATTATTACCCCTTTTCACACTGCTGAAATTCCGGCAACTCAAGAGTTTATTTCCATTTTTGTTCATCTTATTAATTAGGGTTTAACACTGCTTCAGTATTAAAAGGCTCAATGAAATGAAAATTGTGGTGGGTCTGTGCTTTGCTTGGAAGATTCTGAAACTACCTGCATTATACGGTGTCCTTTTCCCCCAATTTAATTAAAACAATTTAATTTAATTCAATTCTTTTCTCACCAATCAATTTTAATCTTCGCCATTGAAATCCTGCTTCAAAAGTGGTTCGGCATTCCGGCTTCTCTTCAACCTAAGGTACATTCCTTTATTTTTACTTGTTTTTCGGAAAAAGGGAAAATGATGTAGATGAGATTTGATTTCGGGTTTGGTACACTCATGGAGTACTTTAACCGACTAAACTAGCTTGGCAATTTACAATTCGTTCGTTTTTTTTCTTTTTTCTTTTCTGGGTTCAATTTAATCTGAATAATGTTGGTTGAATGAAAATGCATTGTTTTGTACGGCTTTATGCATAGAGTATTAGATAGATTCCTGAACTATGTTCTCTTTTTGAAGAGTTGAGTAATAGATAGATTCCTGAACTATGCTATAAAGGTAAAGGGGAAAAATTAAACGAATGAAGAACAAAGAGTACTGGGTTTTTTGTTGTTCATTTTTTTTTTTGCAACTTTAATAATTAGGAATTTTGCTTTATTTTTTTTCTTTTTACGTAATAGCCGTTTAATTGATTCCTAATTCCTGGAATCCTTTTTTTAATTTTTATTTTGTTATTATTGCTTTGCTTGACGAGTTCAATTCATTGATTGAGGATCTGAGGGGTTTCTATTTTTAATATTACAGGTGTTTGACATGGTTGGTACCTATCATTTGCAGATCTTGCTAAGACATCATTTGAACTTCTGATTAGTTGTTAGAGTCTCTTTGCATCAATGTGGCTTCTTTTTCGAAGTCTCGTGGTGCTTCTGATGTTACTGTTGTCGTCATGGTTACCAATTATTGTAGCACAATCGCCTGCAAGCTCGGCTCGTGAATTAGATGCTGTTCTCCAGGATTATGCTTACAGGGCATTTGTTCATCCGAGGACTGGTATTGTATATGATGGGACAGTGCCTTCGAATTTTACAGGGATTAAGGTTGCAGGTATAAGGCTAAGGAGTGGTAGTTTGAGAAGCAGGGGTGTAAAATACAAAGAGTTTGATATTCCAATTGGTGTTGTAGTGCAGCCATATGTAGAGAGGCTTGTTCTTGTTTATCAGAACTTGGGAAATTGGTCTAATGAGTATTATCCATTGTCGGGGTATACTTATTTAGCTCCTATGCTTGGATTGCTAGCATATGATGCTGTGAACTTATCAGCGACGAATTTGCCTGAATTGGATATTAGGTCATCGTTGAGTCCGATAAAAATACAGTTTTTGAATGTTAAATCTGTGCCAGATGGGTCTGTGGTGAAATGTCTGTGGTTTGATCTTCGTGGTAATGTCAATTTCAGCAGAGTGGTGGCAAAGAATACCTGTTCAACTGTTCAACAGGGGCATTTTGCTTTGGTTGTTGAGAGCACAGCTCCTTCCCCAGCACCTTCAGCACCTGCCCCATCTCCGGTTTCTCATAAGCATAAGAAAAAGAATAATATGAAGAAAGTCTGGATAATTGTTGGATCGGTACTGGGTGGATTATTATTGTTGGTGCTGTTGGCAATGTTGTTGGCATGGTTGAAAAAATATCAGCAGAAGAAAAAAATGCAGCATATGGAGAAGGCTTCAGAGGGTGGTGAAGCCCTGAGGATGACGTCAGTGGGGAGTGCTAAAGCACCAGCAGCAATGGTTACTAGGACACAACCGACTCTTGAGACGGAATATGCACCCTAAACTCTTCCTTTTGCATATTGTACAAGCTTTCTCTCCTGCCATTCACATTCATATGTCCAATTCTTGCATTCACATTCTTCTGATTCCACACCTGTTTTTGGTTGGGTGTTTCCTCCTTGCCTTTGATTCCTATAATTGCTTGTTGGACAGGTCTTTCAGTTCTAGTGTGGGCAATATAGAAATTACCGGTGTAGATAGCATTTTGTTTAGATTGCTAGACTCATAGTCTCTTCATTCGTTGTGGTGTGCATTATGTGACTGATTTCGGTGTTTTGACCGACAAGGAATAAGATCTTTCGTATATTCATCTCAACATTTGATATTTACTTGTGCTGTTTTCCCTAATAGTTTGTCTCATTGAATCAAATATCCAGATAGGTGATGATCTAAATTTTCAAATGTGTTGCTGCATGGACCAGCAACTCTCATGATTATCATCAATTTTATTTATTTTTTATTTTTTATTTTTTTGAAGAACATGAATATCTTCATATTTTGTATTTCTTTTTTTGGAAATAAATCCTCATTAGTCTTAGTCGGGAAGAGGGGGTGGGGTTGGGGGGGGGGGGGGGTTGGGGTGAGTTAGAGGATCTTTGTGGACTATCATGAGGTAATTGCTTGGTTCATGTTAGCTAATCCCATCCTTTTTCGGATTAAGGCTCTGCATTGTTTTATATGCTAAGGAGACTTTATTCCATTACCATTTTTTCCGCAGCAAAACCCATGTCATTGAACATTTGATGTAACGTAGATTCTAGAATTAGTTTCAAAGTGCCACCCACACACTTGTCAATGTCAGAAGGCTGAGGCCTGAGGACAAACTTTTGAGAGGTATGATTAGAGCAGGATGTTTTTTTTTTTTTTTTTCATTTTAGTTATGTTATTTCTGCCTTAAATTCGGACCACCATCTTTATCTTCTGGAGTTGGCTGTTGAGTTAAATTCACTAGTTAAGACAATTTGCCTGTAGCATTTATATTTTGTAGGTGCAGAACATGTGTTACCATTGCTGGTCTCTTCTTCTGGGTTGATATTTAAGGTAGAGGGGTGCGGTTCAATCGAATAGTATAGAAACCTGTAATTTGGGTTGGTTTATTCTCAGAAGCAATTTTGTCTTTTCATTTAGTGCGTTCATCGTTTAAGGTCGACTTTAATGTCGCCGTTGTATAGTCTATAATTTGTTTTTTCAATCATTTTTAATACTTTGTAATTCTGCAGCCTAGTTTTGAATATCAGTTGACTGGATATTTTGAAGTCAATGTTTTTGGCCAGGGTTTTTGGTGCTGAAGTTGCAGGTTGAGTTTCTTTCAAGTAAGTTCTACAAATGTCTAGTAAATTAGTAATATCAAATTGTTTATATTTCAAAATGTAAGTAATCATAAACTTTGCGCTTTTAATTAGTCAGTAATAAAATGCTACTTGTATTGTACTCATGATGACCATCTATTTGGTGATAGCTTGAATTTTGGCTTTCATACTTGATGCTTGTTTAGATATCTTGTACTTTTAACAAGTGCTTATTGTTCATAACTTTACACTTTATTATTAGTTACTTATAGATGTTACGGCTTAGTGTTCCAGAAGGTACACAAAACATCCTAATATTGCCTTGGATATATGTTTTTCTGTACACTCAGGTGTATAGAAGACATGATGTTGTAGGTTTTTGCCTTGGATATATGGAGTCTTGTTTTTCCATAAGACCATTGACAGAGCCAGATGCATATGTTTTTATAGCTCATTAGCGATATCTCATAGTGACCTTATCTTTGGGATCAAGGTTTTGATTGTTGTAGCAATATCCAATTTAAATTTTTATGTGTTGAAGTCTGTTACTCTGGTGGATGCAATAGGTTAACTGGTTAAGTGGTTCTGCTGAGGAATGAAATTTTAATGATTTTATCAGCTTATTATTCATCTCTCTGTTAATAAAGTGTAATGACAAATTTTCAGCAATCAAATTCATTTCTTTTACTCTCAGATTTTTGGATTGGGATCATGTAAATATGTAATTCACATTTCCTTAAGATTCTTTTATCTTATTAGGTGTATTTTATTCTTAGGCAGTGATCACTATGTTGTCACGTGTTTGTGAAACCTCTTCCCCACTTTTGACCTTTCTGTCAAAATTTCATTTTTTTTTTGCCCTATTTAACTTTTTAGCGTTTTAAAAATTATAGGGTATAATTTCAATTCTATGCCAAAAACTTGATATTAATAAAATATACAATGCGATGTTATATTATCTTCTGTTGATAAATGGAAATTTATAGTCAATGTTTTTGAAATTTGACCCATTTATTTGCAATAGGTCCTATTGCTTATTTTCATCTTAGATGTACTCCCTTCCGTTTTTAAATATTTGTTCCATTTCTCCTAGACATGTATGCTAAATTGCTGATGCTAATGCTAATTTTTTATTAATAATATCTTTAATTATCAATAAGAATGATTCTTATAAGTAAAAATTAATAATTTATTTATTGAGATAATTCTAACAATTATTCATAAGACTATATTTTTGTTATGTATGAACCACAAATATTAGTTAAATAAATAGTGCAAAAAGTAAAATTGGAGCAAGTATTTAAAAATGGAGGGAGTATTCTTTTATTTATTTTTAAACGTAGGGAAAAAGTATTATTACGTACTCCCTCCGTTTTTAAATACTTGCTCCACTTTCCTTTTTCGGCCGTTTTTAAATATTTGCTCTATTTCCTTAGTTGGAAAACTTTTATAATATTTAATTAATTTCTTCCAGCTAGTGGACTCAACAATATTAATTTCATATTCTATCTCTTTCAATTTTCTCTACTACTTTAGTTTTTTTACAATTTTTTATTCTTTCACCAATCCCACTACGTCCATATTTTATTATTTTCTCCAATTTCTTCTAAAACTCCGCACATGGAGAAATGGAACAAGTGTTTAAAAACGAAGGGAGTATAAGACTATTTTTTATATATTTGTCACTTTTTTAGTAATAGAATTTCATTAAGAGGAATCTAACAAGATTTCACTTATAGTACGTTTTAGCTACTAACTTAACTCCATTTTTAAAAAAAAATAATTATAAAATCATACTAAGAATAATAATTAAATATTTTATGCAGAAGCAAACAAACAGCGATATACCCCCTACCCACATGACCTCTTCTTTTTCTACCTACGGACCAACCCATTCCATTCACTCTTTGCTTAGCTGGAGTTATGCTTGGCGTGAACCCCACACTTCTCGTTTAGTGGGATAGTGTGTATTTTTATTTAAATCCATGCTTTTTATTTAATTTTTTCTTTTTAAATTGTTAGTTAATGTTAGCAAAAAGGGTGACTTTGACAGCTACTCCATATATATATAGACCCAATATAATGTTAAATTTTGGAGATATTCTATTGTTTAATTGTTTCATATAGTTGTCAATTACTCCCTCCGTTTTTAAATATTTGGTCTATTTTTATTTTTTGCACTATTTATTTATCCAACTTTGACTAATGTTTGTGATTTATACATAAAAAAAATATAGTCTTGTGGGTACTTGTTGGAATCATCTCAATGAATAGATTATTAGTTTTTAATTGTTAAAATTTATACTTATTGATAATTAAAGATATTAATGATTAAATATTAGCATCGACATGTGTGTCCAAGAGAAATGAAGCAAGTATTTAAAAACGGAGAGAGTAACACATTATTCTTGTCCTCCCTCATTCTATAATATAATTATTGTTTGTGTTTTTTCACGATAATTAAGAAATAGGAGGAGAAAATGGATAAAATACATTAATAAATGTGAAAAATACAATCATAGACCAAAAGTCAGTGGACAAATTTTTAAATAAATCGGATGTACAATAAAGTATTGTACATACAGTATAAAGTTATTGTTAAATGAGCAAGAATTACCCCTGAAATGAATAAAAGTTACCCCAATATGTATAAAAGTAACCCAATACAAATAAAAATTATTTACACTTTATTAGTAAAGAACTAAAGTTCAATTATTAATGATTGAATGTAATTACTTTTATTAAACTTTTCTTGTTGTCTGTTGTTATGGTCGATTTCCAAGCACGTCCTGATTCTCGACTCGTCACACGAAGAGAAGGGATGACGCAAGACTTCCTAACTAACTCAGTGAAAGATAAGGATTGACTAAGTTCAACAATGACATCATAAGATCTTCTTCAATAACTCATTTATCCCATTCAAATCCGAATCTCGTCCAAATAAAGCCTTCAGCGAAAAGATAAGCCTAAAACATAGTCTTCCAACGGCAACCCTACATTCTTGGGAGATTGTTAGCTGCTTTCAACGACACTTAAGCTAGGTTTATTTATTCATACTTAGCATTATAAATAGCATGTCGCTTGTAATCAGTAGCATATTCATATCTACGCATTTTATTCTTCTCTTTGATTTCTCACACTATTTGTACTCAAGTTAATTCATAGTGAATCGGTGGTCTTGCATCCTCGCGCAGCTTTTCCCGTATTTGGGTTTTCAGCGTCATCAAAACACCTTGTCCTTTATCGTTTTCTATCCAATCTATTTATTTTTCATAGTTAATTTTCTAGCCATCGTATGTCCAAGCCTTGGTCGCCCGAAGGCGAAATTTGGCACAAACAGTTTGGCGCCCACCGTGGGGCCATGACTAGATTGTCTCTAAAAAACTTAAAAAAAAACAGCTTTTTTCTCTCAACAGGTCATTCAGCTATTATGGGTTCCTCCAAAGGAAACATGACAATCTATCAGCTCATGGAAAAGATCCGCAAGACTTAAGAGGAGTTGCGCAGCAGAAAGCGGAGAATGCTCGACTCGCAGAAGAAAGCCAGAAGACCACTGACACTCTCAGGAATGAGTTGGACTCCGCCCGCAGCAACATGCCTTGCTGTTGCAACACCAATGACATCCCTTCCATGATGGACCTAGAATCTGAGGGCAAATCGGATAGGGATGATGGAGAAGATGATGCACACGATATTGACCAGGAAGAAGATGGTGGTGTAGAGTTCGAGGCCCAGAACGCCAAGCTACTCTGCTTATTAAAGAGCCTGCCCGGTGCACCAGTCCCGACCGTGACTGAAGAACTAGATGGCTTCGCCACGTCGCCCTTTGTAGACGAAATTGCAATGGCTGATACCCCCAAGGAGACTTAACACCTCTCCTCCAGCATCGATCTACAAAGGAAGCACCTATCCGCTGGAGCATGTGAATCATTACAAGCAAAGGATAGATGTGGCAATATTCCATCCCTCGCAACCTGCTCGACCCAGTCCTTTGCAAATCTTTTGGGGCCACCCTTACGGGGCCTAC